TTTTTCAAAAGTTGACAGGAGAAATTGATAAGTATTTATCATAGTTGAAGATTAATGCATCTGTAGTTGAGCAGACAAAATTTAATAAGGGTAGATAAAATATTTTCGCAACATAATTAAGGTACCTATTCTAATAGTATAGAATTCTGCAATCCAAAATGTGAAGTGGGCATTTGTTTATGGTATATATAAAATATTTATAGAAATTAATCCCTCCTAGAATAAGGGAATAACACATTTGAAAGAATTCCTATTTTATTGATTATTTTATATGAGTATTATACAATGACAATATAAATAACTAACAAAATATTAATTAAAAATACATGCTTAGAAACTTCTGTGCACATCCCTAATAACTTACATGTTAAAAGGAAGCGACAATGAAATTATAAAATATTTATAATTAATCAGTATCAAAATAATGTATCTCATGATTGCAGAGGAAGAGGGTTGAAGATGGTATAAGGGGGCAAATGGTAATGGAAAAAATACAATAAAAAATAAACTTAAAAAGACTAATATATGTCAGCAATTTTGTAATGCAGCCAACATAGTGTTTACAGGGAAATTTATAGCCTCAAAAAGTGTTTTTTTTTTAATTGAAAATAAATGAGTAAAAGTTCTCTTTGAGGAACTAGAAGAATAATAACAAAGGAAGCAGATGAAAATTAATATAGATTACAATCTAAATTAATGTAATAGAAAACAAAGGAACATTAGAGTATAAACAAAACCAGAAGTAATTTCTTTGAAAACTAACAAATACCTACCTCTAAAAAGGGCTGATGAAGTAAAACAAGCATAAATAAACAATATGAGGAATGAAAAAGTGATTAAAATTATAGCTATAATATGCTTTTATTTTTTAAGTTTGAGAATTTTATTAAAAATTTATCCCAGTAAATTTGGCATTGAGTAGATGATTTTCTAGAAAAAGTATAATTTACCAAATCTGACTCAAAAGAGAAATAGAAAGCCTGAAGAAACTTAACCCTGTGTCTGTATCCCCAGGATGCTGGAAAACTGAAGATAGTTTCACAGAGGAATTTTAGCAAATTCAAGAAACAGCTAATTCTTCTACAAATGGTTTCAGAGTATAGAAAAATAGAGAAAGTGCCCCAGTTTGCTTTTTATAATTCTAGGATAATCTCACTATCAGAGTTGTATAAGAACAAGATAAAAAGCAATGTGGATCAATTTCCCATAAGAACATGGATGCAAAATTACTAAATAAAATAGTAGCAAATTGAATAACCAGTATACTTAAAAGAAGTAAGCTAAATCATGGCCAAATGAAGGTTATCACAGAAATTTAAGAAGTATTCAGTATCTAAAACAGTATCAATATAATTCACCACATTAACAGATTATAGGAGTAAAGCCATATGATCATTTCAATAAATTTGAATTTGACAGAATTCTATATTTATTAATTTTAAAACTTTTACCAAAAGTTGAATATGAGAGAATTTCTTTAACTTCATAAAAGTTAACTACAAAACAAAACTACTGCCAACATCATTGTAAGAGACTCTAGAAGCATTCTCACTAAATTCAGGAGGAAGACAAGAAAGACTCATATTATGATTTCTATTCAACATTGTACTGAAGGTTCTAGTTAATGCAATTTAAAAAGTAAAAGAAATGAGATATGAGAATTGTAAACAGATAAAATACTGCCTATTGATAGAAAATGTAATTTTCTACATATAAAATCAAAGAGAATCAACTAACTGTAGAAATAATAAAAGAATGGGGAAAGACTGTGTATACAAATATTACATGCAAAAGTCAGTAGTAATTTGTTATACCAGTAATAACCACTTGGGATTTATTTATAAGAAAAATAATGAATTTATTTTCTCAATATGTCTTATCCAATCTGGAGGTTTCCTAATAAGAGGAAATAAATCCTCTCTTACTGTGCAATCATCCCATTTCTCAACTTTATCAAACCCTCTTGTATAGCAGATGTTTTTAAGTCCCTCTTACTGTCTTAAAATTAATTTTAAAACTTAGGTACATACATCTTTGAAAATAATTTAATATAATATTAAGACAAAATAAAATGCAGTAAACTAATATACAGGGGTAGGCAAAAGTAGGTTTATAGTTGTAATACAAATAACTAATACAATAATTAATAAATAATAATACAAGAATAAACTCTGTTTTGCATACTCATAACTTTAAACCTACTTATGCCCACCCCTGTATATCCACCCTAAAAATATTCAGACATGGCTATGCCAGAGAACATGATGAAATAGCCATATGTTTGTACTTAATTTTAATGAATAAATTTGGAATTAAGAGGAGCAAGACAACATTAAACTCATATTGTCAATAATTTTTATTTAACATGTTGAAATAAGGACTGAAGAAGTATATACATATGCAGGGTCTGGCAGAAGTAATGCCTGCTTGCGTGTGGTTGGGAGGGTAATATGGGTATAATAATTTATAGTTTTAATTTGAACATTTCACCTAAAATGTCATATGATATGCTTGAGTGTGATATTGTTATGTTACAGAATTACATGCTTATGACTTTTTAATAAAAAGGGCATCATTTGTGCTGGACCCTGTATATTCATAGACTTGCATATATGGACAAATATCGAAGTGCTGTATTGCTGACCCAAATACAGTGAGCAGCACTGTGATCACTAATGTGTTTTCCCTAATGATTAAAAACAGAAAATCTTTGTATGGTTCTGAGAAAAACAAAGTAAGTTGTTCTTTCAGTTGACATTATAGTTATATCCATATACATTTACATGAATTTTAAATCTGCAAAAGAATATTTTTAGCTTATAAAAAGGCATTTAAGTTATGGCCTGAAATTATTGTATAAACAGATATCCCACTGGACTGTCAAGTTTTACAGAATGTGGAAGAGATCTTTATTGTACAAGACTGGCCGCAGCATTGCAAGACATTTAGCATCTCTAAATTCCCCTCCCACTAAATGCCACTAGCAATCTGCAAATCATCTGGATAAGCAACTATTCATGTAAATTACTGTAACATCTCCCAGGGGGCAGTATTGATCTTATTGAAAACCATTGGTTTAGATGTCTGAGTGCATTTGCTATGGGTAAACTCTTTTCCAAGTCATGATTACCATTTTTGATTGAAAACAATCAAAATGTCCTAAGCGTCTCATATTCAAAGGCTTATCTCCTGCATTCAAAACTGAATATTTTAACAACATGGTAATACTATGCATATAACCTCTTATAACAAGAAGTCTAGTAAGAAAAGTAGAACTCCGGATGTTTGGGTTTGTGTCACTTGAGAATCTCATATTATAGGCATCATATCAAGTTTAACATTCTTACGCTATTCAATAGTTGTATTATAAGTGGGAATTTAAGTTTTGAAAATGATAAAATGGTCATGGGAACCAGATGCACAAAAGAAGCTTTAGCAAATTTCTATATCAAATAATGTAATCAGTTCTGGAGTTCAGGTAATGGACTGAGATATCTTACAACAGTTTGTATATTGCCTAAAAACTATTCCTCTTAAACCCTTCAACATAGACCAGCTGTTGTTAATTGTGAAGGAGTTATAAGTATAAACATACTTTTAACCATTTTAATTTACTACCCAAATGATTTTGTCCAATCCCATAGCTTCAAATAAACCCTGACAATTAATGACTCCCAAATCTTTATTTCCAGCTCTAGCCTCTATCTTGAGTTCCAAACTTCTATATCCAATTGCCTAAACCATTTATACCTAAATATTTACTAGGTATCTCAAATGTGCCATGTCAAAGATGGAACTTGCGATTTTCTTACACAATCTTATTCCTCTAATGTTTCTCAGCTCAGTAAATGATACAGACATTTATTCAGTTATTCATACCAGAAACATTGGGGGTCATTATTTTTTTGCTTTTTCTCATGCCCCATAAATCCAGTGTTTTTGGTAGTTGTGTAAGCTCTATTTTCAAGGTATAATAAATCTGCCCATCTGAACCACATGAGTCAAAGCCAGTATTATTTAAGTGAGAAACTTCAACCAACTCTAAATGCTCTCCCTGATTCCATGTTTCTTCCACATCATTAGTTTATTAATGATATACAGTAGTGTCCAGTTCAGTTGACTGCTTAACATTTACTGATGAATTCCCATTTCAAACAAAATTCAAAGTTTTTACCATGACCTAGAAACCATGGTCTTCTGGATATTTTTCTGACCTCATTTCTTATCATTCTCTTCCTCATTCATTTCACTCCAGCCACAATGACCTCCTCACAGTCAGAGAACACAACAAACATGCTTCTGCCTTGGGGCATTTGTATGTGCTGTTCCCTGAGCCTGGACAGTTACCCCTCTCCATATTTTCATGACTTTATTTTTACATTTGGATCTCCATTCAAATATCACCTCTTAAGGAGGCCTTCCCAACTACCTTATCTAAAATAGCACCTCTCACCACTCTGTCCATACCCATCTTTATTTTTTCATAGTATTTATCCCTCCTTAGCATTATATTATATTTTTTTTTATTTGTTTACTGTCTTTTTTCCTCAATGGAATATAAGCTTCATGACCATCACATGGACAAATTACAAAAGGAATCAATGTTGACTAACTCTTAACAAACACTATGTAATAATTTTGACAACATTTCAAAATGATATAGTCTGATCTTCTAAACCACATTTTCTCTCATTTCCTAATGTAATTAAGTCAGTGGTATTAAAAGAAGGGTGATGTTGGTATGTGAAAGACGACTAAAATGGTATCATCTACTAAAACTATGCTGAAGACTGATGGTGTATATTTTCTCTATAGGTAGTATTGATTATTTGAATTACTAAAGATGTGACTAAATCATAGGATCAGCAATCTGACTATTAATGACAAAAATATTGGCTAACCATGATCACTTGAGATTACTTTTTGTATGACATTTATGTTATCCAAAAATGACTATATTAAATATTTAATTACTACAGTTTTGTTGTTTTTTATTTTAGGAAGTGATTTGCAGCTGAGTGAATCAGGAAGTGACACTGACGACTGAAGAAACATTCAACTATAAATATAAAATTTACAAGACATGTAATGATTTATTTTATATTAAGAATAAAAATTTCCAAGACTAAGGAAAATGTACCTTAACTTTAAATGATAAATTAAATTTGATTCAGAATTTTCAGTTGATGTTACATTTTTTTTACCTTTTATGAGTACCAGCATTTTCATGTGTTTTCATTTAATTTTAAAACTTTTTTGAAGTTTTAAAGATGAGAAAAGAGACTCAGACTTTAGTAACTTGCCCACATATTGTTAGTTAAGAAGTGGCACATCAGGTAGGTGTTCTAATGTTCAAGTTCAGTGCTCTGTTTTACAACATTGCTGTTTCCAATTGTGAAATGTCAAAACTAGGCATTTATAATAAATTCTATGATTTTAATTATATCTCTGAGCCTTTTCTAGCTCATATTCCTTCAATTTTTTTTAAATATATTAAGTCTTGACAAAATTAAACTATAATTTAGGGTAAGGTGAAGCTAAATTTTATTGTTTAAAATGAGTATTATGTCATAGTATTTTCGTCATTTGCTTATTTGGCTTTTGGGAGAAAACTAAGCAGTTAAGTGTTATGAAGGTAATTAATATTTACATCTCTAATATTTTTTAATTTGGATGAAAAGATAAATATTAGATTATAGTTGAAAACCACTGACCATTAGCAAGGTTTTTTTTAAATTAGTAAACCTTATTTTTTTAGGGCAGTTTTAGTTTCACAACAAAAGTACAGCAAATTCTTATATACTTCCTGTTTGCACTCATGTACAACTTCCCTTACTATACACATCCTGACCAAAGTGGTATATTTTTTACAGTCGAACCTACATTGACACATCTTTACCCAAAGTCCATAGTTTGTATTAGAGTCACTCTTTGTGTCATACATTCTATACGTTTTAACAAATGTATAATGACGTGTATCTACCGTGGTAGTATCATACAGAATAGTTTCACTGCCCTGAAAATCCTGTGCTCTGCCTATTCATCCCTCCCTGCCAACATTTAGACCACTTATTTTTTTCATAGTCTCCTTTTCCATTTTTAGCATGTCATATAGTTGGAATTATATAGTATGCAGTCTTCTCAAATTGACTTGTTTCATTTAGTAAGATGCACTTAAGTTTCCTCCATGTCTTTTTCATTGCTTGATTGCTAATTTCTTTTTAGCACTGAATAATGTCACATGGTCTTCATGTACCACAGTTTATTTATCCACTTACCTACTGAAGGCATCTTGGTTACTTCCAAGTTTTGTCAGTTATGGACAAAAAGTTATTCAACTTCACTTCTTACCAAAGAAATGTCTATAAGTTTTTTTTTTTTTCTTAATCCTTAAATTTTGGTTTTAATCTCTTCCACTTTCTTCTTTCTTACTTTCTCTAACATACCTGTGGCTGATCTGTGTACTCACTTTTTTTATGTTTTATTCATCAATGCTTGAATCAAAACTATGTCACTTGTTAAATATAAAGCAAGCTCAAATAATAAAAACTGACTTGTTTCCTACACTCACAAAACCTATTGAGATTTCCTTTGCAGTAATAAGTTGATTAGAGGAATATTGACATGTTTACAATATGAACCTTCCAAATTATGATCATGGTATGTCTCTCCATTTATTTAGGTCTTTTAAAATTTCTTTGATATTTTATAGTGCTTAGTGTTGAGGTCTTGACCATCTTTCATTAGATTTACTCCAGGCATTTTTTATGCTATTATAGCTGATAGTATTTTTTAAATCCCCCTTTCTATTTGCTTTTGCTAAATTTAAGTACCATTTATTTTTGGCTGGGTCATGTAAGGCTGACACATGTGTCATGAGGGGCTGGGAGGAGAAACTGCGGGCTGTGTAGGGTGGTCAGCCCTTACTCCAGAGGGTCCACAAGTTTTGTCAACCTTTAAAGGTATGGAGATGTGAGATAAAAATCAAGCGCTCTTGACTATGGGATTTCTGGTCAAGATGGAGGCATAGGTAGACATGCTTCACCTCCTTACAAAATCATAAGAAGGATCACAACTAACCACAACAGCAACAAGAAAAGCACCCAAAACTGCCATAAAATTGAACTGTATGGAAATCCGACAACCAAGGATTTAAAGAAATATTGATCCAAATGGATAGGAGGGGCCTGGGAGGAGAGGACATGGTGTGGCAGCCATGAAGCAGCTACCGGTGGAACAGGAGGTCTCACATTCATGTGTGGTAGATAAAAATTCTGAATGATTCCTGGGGAGTGATTGATCAGTCAGTCCCAGGTCAGACTATGCAGGCCAGGGTTCCAGCACTGGGAAAATAAAGCCTCATAACGTCTGGCTGTAAAAACCAGTGGGGATTGGGGCGGTGGAAGAAACTACTGGTCTCTTGGGAGAGACCATATAAAGGGCCCACCCAGTCCTAGAATTTATGCAAACCTACCCACTTTAGGAACCAACAGCAGGGCAACAGCTAGAGGGGTGCCAGTCACATGCAGGAAGTGGGTGAAGTGACTGCAAGCAGGGTGAGTGCTGAGCAAGCCTCCAGCAGCCGGGCAGCAGCACCATCCCCTCTCCAACCACTCCCCCACATACACAGCCACAAAATGGTGAAGCTGGTTGCTCCACCCTGGGGAATACCTAATCCTCCACCCCATAAAACTTAACAGGTGCACTAAGGAGTCAAAGCAGCTCTACCTGATACACAGAAACAAACAGGGAGGCTGCCAACTTGAGGAGACAGAGAAATATGGCCCAAATGAAAGAACAGAACAAAATCCCAGAAAGAACTAAGAGAGAGCCAACTTAGATGCAGAGTCCAAAACACATGATAAGGATGCTGGGAGAACTCATTGAGTATGGCAAAAGCATAAGGCTACACTAAGTGAAATGAAAAATCTACAGGGAACTAACAGTGAAGGGAAGAAAGCTGGGGTTCAAATCAACAATTTGGAACATAAGGAAGAAAACAGTCAACCAGAACAGAATGAAGAAACAAGAACTCAAAAATGAGTAGAGAATAAGACTCTGGGACAACTCCAAAAGCGCCAACATCCGAATCATAAGGATGCCAGAAGGAGAAGAGGAAGAACAAGACATTTGAAAACTTATTTGAAAAAATAATAAAAGAAAACTCTAATTTGATGAAGGAAATAGACATACAAGTGCAGGAAGCACAGAGTCCCAAACAAGTTGGACCAAAAGAAGACCACACCAAGACACATAATTAAAATGCCAAAGGTTAAAGATAAAGAGAATATTAAAAGCAGCAAGAGAAAAGGGGACAGTTACCTACAAAGGAGTTCTCATAAGACTATAAGCTAATTTTTCAAAAGAAACTTTGCAGGCAAGAGGGACTGTCAAGAATTATTCAAAGTGATGAAAAGCAAGAACCTACAACCTAGGTTACTCTATCCAACAAAGCTATCATCATTTAGAATGGAAGAGCAGATAAAGTGCTTCTCAGACAAGGTATAGCTGAAGGAGTCTATCTTCACCAAGCCCTTATTATAAGAAATGTTAAAGGGACTTGATCAAAACTATGAACAGTAAAGTGACAAGAAACTGACAACTATCAACAGCCGAATCTAAAAAACAAACAGTTTAAGCAAACAACTAGAACAGGAACAGAATCAGATTTGGAGATCATTTTAAGAGTTATCAGCAGAGAGGATAAGGGGGAGAGTGGAGGAAATGGTACAGGGATAAAGCAACATAATTGGTAGGTACCAAATAGACAAGGGGATGTTAAGAACTGTATAGGAAATGGAGAACCCCAAAAACTTATGTGTATGACCCATGGACATGTACTAAGGGGAGAATTGCTGGAGCTTAATGAGGTACTGGGCAGAGAGGAGCAAAAGGGGAAAAATTGGGACAACTACAATAGCATAATCAATAAAATATACTTAAAAATACAATTTTATTTTTGAGTGCTGATTTTATATTCTTATACCTGTTAAATACATGTTCTCTTTTAATTCCATATTTGCCTTTTCTCTCTTACTGTATTAGTACTTTATCTACCATGTTAGAACATCAGTATCTTTTTTGCTTTTATTATTTTAATTTATAAATCATGTTTATTCTATTACAGTTGTCTCAATTTTTACCCCTTTACCTCCTCCACCCATCACACCCCCACCCCCCACTCCCACAGTCAATTCCCACTCTGTTGTCCATGTCCATGGGTCATTCATGCATGTTCTTTGTCTAGTCCCTTCCCCTTCTTTCCACCATTGTCCTCTTTCCCCCTCCCCTCTGGTCACTTTCAGTCTGCTCCATGTTCCCATGCCTGTGGTTTATTTTGTTCATTAGTTTATTTTGTTGAATATAGTCCAGTTATAGGTGTGGTCATATGGTAATTGTCTTTTATCAACTGGCTTAATTCACTTAGCTTAATATTCTCCACTTCCATCCATGTTGTCACAAAAGGTAGGAGTTCCATCTCTCTTTCCTGCTTAAATGCAGATTGATTTTATTCATTTTTTTAAATGTCAAAGTTAATTATAAAATATTTTTTAAAATTTAAAACCATTATGAAGTCTCAGCAATTAAACCAACATGACAGCAACACAGAAATAATCAAGTAGATCAATGAACTATAATGAGCATTCTAGAGACATATGTATATATCTTTCTACAATATAATATGTGATTAAGTTGATATTTCAAATGATGGGTAAAATAAGGCTTATTCAACAAATAAGGTGCATGGACCACTACTACTTTAAATAAAACAAATATAGAACCCTATTTCACACATTATACAAGAAATAGTCAAGTTGAGTTAAAAATCAATACATAGAATCTAAGAAGTTTTAGGAGAAAATACAAACTAATATTTTTCTTACCCTGAAGTAAAATATTCAAACCCAGAAGTTATAAAGTAAATATTGACAATATGACTATATTAAACATTTAACTATATGGTAATGTACATATAAAAAAAAGTTAAAGGACAAAGAATAGAATAGAAAAGTATTTGCAACACATCTAAAACATGGTTAATAGGTTTTGGGTTTTTTTAGGAAAAAAAGTTCTACAAACCTTCAATCAATAAATGGATAAAGAATACCAAAAATTCATTT